ATATCAATACAAACACATACGGATAGACGCAAACATACATGAAGGTATACATTCATACTAAAAGACATACTTACATACATTAAATACATGGGTATATACGAATAATAGTATTTAAAGCTTGACAATGCTCCAAATATAACAAGAAAATCTGCTTGAAAGAGTTGAAAAAAATCATCCTACTTTACAAGCCACAGGAAGATCATCCTGGTCTTCAGACGAGAGGTCTTTCTGTGACATAATCAGAATCCGTTATTGTGCTATTTCTAGGAATGTGGTGTATTTCGATGTAACGACGTAGCGACGTAAGAGGTGGATGCGCAGCCGGTGTAGTGCAGACTTGTTAAATAGGTGTAGAGTAGAGTAGATGTACTCAAACATATGTCCTTATAACACAAGGGCTTGTAGACGCCCAAAATTGTTGTGTGCAATTGTTGCGGTATGATCGATATCTTCGTTGCAGTAAAACGAAGGGAATAGTAATATATACAAAATATAAGCAAAGAGAACTGTCATATACATTAATAAATAGATAGGTATGTAAATATATGTAAATAGTGTATTTACATCGTATAAATTCAGAGCCGTGAAGTATGAACAAAATAAATATAAATACATCTGATTTACACTCGGCTTGTTTACACAGCTACGCCGCTGTGTAGATGATCAAAGCTTCGCTCATATATGGTATATGTAAGATTTTGGCGGGCGGAAAGCCTAGAACGCTACATATTCAAATAAATACGATCTTTTGGACGATGGTGGTTGTCTCAGCTCTCCTCCCAATGTTATTTAAATACGCTCAAATCTGGATGATATGAGCTTGAATACTATGCATCAAGTACCTGAGATACGTGCATATGCAGATATATGGGCATGCATATAAGTATATATATTTATATATATACGTATATGTATACACATACAAACATACAATATACCGATAGCAAAAGTCTTCAAACAACACAGTGAGAAGGGAGATTGCTCTTTTTTTCCTGTGGGATGGAGGGCTTGTCGAGTTGCTGAAGCAGCATAAGTATAGTGGAATGTATGGTCCCTTAACTTATATGTCGTTAAGAATCACAAAGAGGATCAGAAAGGTTATCACACACGACATATTAGGACATTTGTGACACAAAGAGAGGGGGACCTTTATATATAGTACGTAGATACGTACAAATACTCTGCTGAACACATATGCACGGTGCTCAACTAAATCTTGCAAATTGCGTGGTTTAAGATATTGTGCGTGATATATGTATACCGAATGGATGCCATTAGTCACTCATTAGGGGATATTTGAAGGTCTAATGCAGACCTCTATATGCGTTAGAAGGTTATACATCAACACAAATATACTGCAAGTACATACATATCGACAGTTCGTCAAGGATTCGTTCCTATACACGACCGTATTCATAACTGAAGTAGACACATATACATATAAACTCATGAGATCACGAGTTAAACACCACCGTATACATTAGATATATATATATATATATATATACTCTCGAGATCCACTTTCGACTATTCTCGAACACATTGTACATGTTGACAAGACACGAGTATGGTCAAGGCAGTAAGCACCGCCGGTGGTGCGAGTAGGGTTTCACCCGTTAAAACCACCCAACGCACCACAGCCACCAACAGTAGTGCTATAAATAAAGTACCTACTAGTGGTACCCTCAGCACACACGAGAGTGCTAAAGCTGCACACGAAAGTGTTGCTAAGACCAGTACTGGCAGTACGGCAACGATTGCAGCAACAGCCAGCACAGTGATTAAAATACCGACGGCTAGTGTTCCTGGTAGTGGACCTACTAAGGTGAAAGCGCACATGGAGAGGGGGGCGGGTACGGGTGCGGATGTGAGTACATCGATAAAAGATACGAAACACCCACAGGACATGCTCACACCTACAAAGGGGCTTGCAAGCAACACGAAAGCATCACCAGGCACGACGGCGGTAGGTAGGAATACCAGTAAAAGCACAGGCGGTACCAGTGAGAGTACTGTGAGTGGTGTGACTACAACTGGTGGGACGAGTACACACTCGGAGGCCCCGGCAAATGGACATAAAAGTGGGGCTAGTGTGGGGGTGACGGGTGGTGTGCCAAGCATCCGCACACACTACAGCAGCAAGTCCAATTCAGCGTCCCGCAAAAACAGGGACAAAGACAAGCATAAGGACGGGAAGAGTAAGGGAGACAAACACTCCAGCTCGGGGAGAAAGGATAAAGATAAAAGCAGAGATAAAGATAAAGATGGCGAGGAAGCCCCGGTGGTAGTACCCACACCCAAACCTATACTGTACGCTGACGATTTTGCCGATATACAGCAAGGGGGATTATTGCAACATGAGAATGATCTAGTGATGCTGGTACCGACCATACCAGCGATGCGCGTATTGAGGTAGGGACAATGTTCTGTGTTGAAATAGTTGATATAT